AACACTAAAATTTCTAGTTAATGTAGAAAAATTAAAAATACCTGGGATCTTTTTTTTTACAATTTATTTTTGTTAATAAAGACTTTAATGTCTTATTTGGGATCTTATTTGCTAATTGTGCAATGTCATTCTACTAAAAAATCATTGTTTTGGGTTTTAGAGCAAGATACTTTCACTTCAGCAACTATATATAATATATTAGTTTTTGTTAAAAAAATTTCTATATACGTAGGATTGTGGAATTATTCTATAATATTATACTTGTATTATATAAATAAATACTTGAGGCTTACATAATAAACCTCCTATAGAAGAAATTTTTAATTTCGACAAAAAATCGGCCGAGTCATTCTTTAATAATTATTTGTTGAAAACATGTTTGACAATTTTAATAAAACTGCTTAGCGATAGAGTTTATGATCTCAATATTAGTTTTTTCTTGATTTAAATATATTAGTAATTATAAGTGATGTATAAAAATTAAGAATTTCAAATACAATCTTGTTTTGCTTAAACTGCGTAATATATTTATAAATTAAGGCAAATTGCTTGAACTTCCAGTACGGAATCTTGGTACGGAACCCAAAAAAATTTACACAAAATGTGTACACATCATTAAAATCTTTATAAAATATCTGATAATTTGATGTACATATGTCCAATAAACTTTTTTGACCGCCAAATGACATTTTTTTTACTTTTTAACTTATTTTCAATGAGAGTCCATAACCGCTAGACCTGCTTTTCCAAAAATTTGATCAGTTCTTCATCTTGGCAAAACAAATAAAATGTTTTTTGAATTACTAAAATAGGGCGTCGTTCTCTTAAAAACCGAGTTACCGTTTTTGGCACTTTTTGTCCCGAATCTTCGAAATGACTAGACCTGCCTATGTCAAAAACTAATCAGCACGTCTCCTTATTTATGGAAATTGAATGTTTTTTGAATAATTGAAATCGGTTGAACCGTGTTCTCAAAATCGTCGACGAAAATTAGTATCAGCACACACACACACACATACATCAATTTTTTCTAAGGTATGCCAAAATGTTCAGAAACCTCTGCAACGTAAAGATAAATAAAAAAAATTGAATTGTGAAGATTACTATAACTTGCCCTACGGGAAGTTAAAAATTGGATATTAAGATATAATTTTTTTTATCTATATTTTGTTCAGCAAATTCCTTGAGTAAAAATCTATAAATTTCTTAAAAAAATTAAGTAAAAAAAATAAATTTACAAAATGTAAAATTACTATTACTCTAAAATATTAATATTTTTTTTAATTGTGAGTGTTTCAAATTGCCTGTATCCAAATAGTAGTTTCTTAAAATTGATACAATCAAACTGTAAAACTTAAAACATAATTCCATAGCGTATTCTTTATAAAATCAATTTTTAAAATAAAAATTACAACAATTGTGTATTTTGTTGAAATAGAAGAGATTTGAAAAAAATCAGTTTTGTCTGAATCTACAACTCAAAAATATTTTATATCTATTTTTTACTAATAATTTAACTTGTGACTGGCTAATACACCCATTTACATTCATAATTGCCCTACTAGGTATTATTTATTTATACCCCTCGGGACTTACGCGCGAAAGACGACGTTTTTAATTAAAAAACTTTCCGAACAATAACTTGTATATATAATATAATATATATTCATATTCTACATCATTTAAATGTGTCCGTCTTAATTAATTTTTTTGTCACCACAATTTGAGACTGTTAAAACGTGTTTTGTTTGAATTCTCAGTGACTTCAGAAAGAACGTGTAAATGATTTTTAATAATAAATTCTATAAGGTCACGAAGTTTTTTATGTCAAAATTAGAGAACAATTTGATATAAAGTAGACATTGTTATAGTTCAAAAAATAATTAATCTGTATCTTGGCAACAATTCTTGGAATGAGCTCACTTTGCACTTGCCTTTATTTTTCCAATTTTGTTAGAATAAAAGTCGATTCATATTAGTTCCTTTACATCGTCTGTTATTAAATTACTACAGGTGTATTGTTGCTGATGCAAATTGAGATAATGTACATGTCCTTTTAGCACAGCCATATAATGGATCGTAATGCAATATAATGAAATTGAACTCACCTACAAACTATCCATCAACTAGAATGCGTTACATTTAATAGGAAATGATATATTATTACTTCACCTGCACTGACTATAAGTATACACTGTATTCACCTTTTACAAATCCTACAGTTTTGCTTGGAAAGTAATATTACTTTTTTCTCAGAGGCTGACTTTTTATCGGAAAAAGTGGTTTATGTGATCATGAACTCTCACAGATTAAATCTATTACTGATCTTATATATGCTGTTTATATGTTTGTATGAAATATTTTTATCTGCTTCACCGACCATTCAAAACGTGGTGTATCATCAATATTAAAATAGAGGAATTTTATAGAACATTTTTGATTCCGACATTCGTGTACTCTCAAATCAACGTGTACATGATAAAATTTTAATTTAATTTTGAAAACACAACTTTTTTGGTTTACTCATACTAAACGTCAAAATTTGTTAGGAAGATAATAAAAACTATTGCATGAATTAACATACACTTTTACACATGTTTCTATATATCAGCTCTCAGAGATATATCAATTGCAGAAGATATATCAATTGCTGCTAACTTGGGGTCTAATGCTAAAAGTAAAATTAAATTCTGCATTAATTTTTTTTTGTAATGATAGCAACGACTAAATTACCTAAATTTTAATAATTAAGTCAAGTAAAAAGATACTTAATACATGCAAACTGAATTTTATTTATTTTATTAATTTTATATATGTATAGATTTAAATCAAACCGATTTATTTATAGTGTGATTATATTCCATACCTAATCGAATATTGGAATATTCAGTTCAATATTCGATTAGCATTTTAATAAGATAGATAATTGAGTTCACGTCAAGAGATATAATTTAAAATGCACGATATCGATTCGTTTTAACTTTTTTGAAGTTTTCAATTCCAAGATCTTCAAATTGTACAAGTGCATGTTCAAGCACGTTTTAAGAGGTAAAACAATAACATCATTAAGGGATTTTTCCTAATTTTTCCAATTAAGTATTTTAGATGACTTATTCGCAAATTGCGGTGTTGCTATTGCACGTGCCTTATAAATATATTAATTAACTAGTTGGTATTGGTATTATCCTTGAGGCAAGTTACATGAACTTCCCGACATGTGTAAATAATCGACTTAATCAATAATAAACAAATTAATTTATGAGTGATTAGAAGTATTCCGAGAGAATTTATTACACATAATTGAAAACGAATCAACACGTTAACTCGGAGTATTTTCTAAAAGCAAGTTTTCACAAATCAATATTTTTTATAATTGAACCAGTTTTCGTAGGACGTTAATGGTTCAGTATGTTCATGAAGACCAAGTAATCGTTCGTTATACCAAGTAAATTATCTAATTTCAATTTTAACAAGCGTCAACAAAACTACTCATTTTCTCAAACTTTGATGAATTTTTAAAATTAAACTACTGTAGTAAGGCCGTAATATTTCAGTAAGTTCTATAAGACCATGACACACATCGACAAAGAGAGTTTCATAAAAATCGGCTTAAAATTTTTTTTCAACAATTAATTACAAGAAAACGGCTCGGTAGATTTTCACTTAAAACTAATCAGTATTATTCCCAACTAATATCTTTCGAACAGTTTTTGATTTTTTAAAATCGATTTGGTAAAATGAGCTTAAATGTGGAGGAAAAGTTTAACACTCTTTTTCAAATTACAAATAAACGGCTCGGTAGATCGTCTCACAAAACTGACAAACTATAGTGCTCATTGAGATACATCTAATGGCTTTTAAATTTCTGAAATCGTTTTAGGCGTTTTTGAGCAAACGTCGATGAAAGGTCTAATTTTGACAAATGCCAAAAAAACGATACCAATATTTGCAAACTTTGACGAATTTTTAAAGCTAAACGAGTTGTCGTAGGACCTAGAAGGCTATTATGGTCATATACATAAACTTCGGGAAGTTAAAAATTCAGGAAAAATTCATTTTATGCAATAAAAAATCGTGAATTATGTAACAAAATTATCTAAGACATGTTTTCTGGATAAAAAAGATTTGAGTAGTTCATATTACAAAATATACCAAAACTGTAATGTTTTAATAAATTTTATACAATTTTGATTAAATTCTATGCTAAACTTTCTTCACTGAATTTATTTATCCGATAATATATGATGAAATGTGTTTCTTTTTTTTTAACTTTTGCAATACTGCATATATTAAAATAGAGGAAATTAATAATGCACTATTTCAAATATGATCTCTGGAGATACAATTTCGATAGAAAAATTATATTGAATAAGATTCCATGTGAACGCTTTACAAATTCGATTATTGAAACTACAATTTTTATATTTCAATCTTGCAAAATTTAAAAAATGCTCAATACATCTTTAAATGATATGATATCATTTAACGAGAATACATTTTTAACATAGCATTTAAAATACTACGCAAAAGTAATTAAAATACCATTTAAAATAAGAAGAAACTATGTTAGTTCAAGTAATACATGAAAAAAAGCATAAGAATACTTCATATAAGATATAAATCATATTAAGATATAAATTAATTAATTAAAGAAATGAATTGGTATTTATAATAGGAAAATAGACACTACATCTTATTAAGTATTAAAAATGGTAAATGTTATTGTTGTTTATTACAACAAAACACATATGGATATCTACAATAGAAATTATATAATACATCACATCAAGATGAATACGGTTTTTATCGTTTTATCATTAAAGAAGGATTTTACCTACTTTCCTTGGTAATTGGTAAATAAAATCCTCGACGTCTTGTGATATAGTGAACCTAATAACATTAGTTTACAATTCCAAATTAATTGCCAAGTCCATTATCCATTATCCTTTATCTAAGTAATACTATGTATTTTGATTACTAACTAAATGGATTAATTTCAGATCAGGTTCTCAAGCGCAGCAAGCGCGATGGGAACAGGTGCGCCTGCAGGTGGAAGCGACCGGAGGGTACGAACTGACGGAGACGGAATTGACTTTTGGCGCCAAACTTGCATGGAGAAATGCAGTCAGGTGCATCGGTCGAATTCAGTGGAGCAAGTTACAGGTACATATTTATATTTTATTGATTATATTTAGATTTTTTACTTTTTTTATATTTTATATTTTTTATTGATTATATTTAGATTCAAATAGATTATTATCATTACTATAACTTACGCGTATATATGTTCCCAGAAAAGTAAATAAACAAATAATCGAGTTTAAAATTAAAGACATTGTCTAATATTTGTCATGATTATGTCTAATATTGCAAAGTCATAATTATTTATTTGAAGTATATAAGTGAGCTTCAGCACTTTAACTAGAACTAAAATTAAAATCGGAATTATTTTCAATATACAAAAAAATGTACACCTAAGTCTGTTTTTACACGGTCTTTTTGTACACGGTTTTGATATAACACGGTTTGAAAATTGAATATTTTTAATTTTTTTACACGATTTTATTCCATTTAGCACGATTTGAAATTTTATGTACTTAAATTTTCTTTGTCAAATTTAATTTTTGCGAAGTATGTTCATATCACAAAAAAGTATTTATGAAAGAAAAAAGTCTGAAACCATCGATAGTATCGATAGTTTGCGAACACTAGCTTAAAGATTTAAGTGAATTCCCCTTTAGCGCGTACAAACAATTTTTACTGGTCAAAGCAAATATGAACAGCACTCATTTAGAGGAATACCCTGAAAATTCTTGTTTTTCACTAATTTTAATAGGTTTTAGAGATTAGGAACAAATCACCCATTTTTGTATAAGATCCATGTCTTTTCAGAAATCGAATGCTTTCTGAACCATTTAAATCGGTTGATCCGTGCGCCCGAAAACGTGTACGGATAATTATATCCATACGTACATACATACAAAATGTTAAGAAACCTTCAAAACGTATAGAAATGCAAATTAATTCAAATCTTGAATTGGTATTGATAAATTATACGATAATAATAATCAAACTAATCAAAAGGATATATCCATATTTGAACAAGTATGAATAGATCTCATACCCTTGAATAGGTCGTTTTCATATTACCTCAATTTTAGTTGCTTCAGCATATCACAGAGGTCGCTACCAACTGTAGCACGTAAACTTACCTTTAGGTTTAATTCTTGATAAGGTTTATATAAATATCTGTAAAATACAACCCTGATTATTTTGAATAAATAAAAGACTGAGTCACAATTTTTCTTCAAAACTATTATATTCAGGTCTTTTACATTGTTTTAATTTATGACATAGCCAGACACAGCTATTAGTCAACGTGGATGTAAAATATATCCTATATTATATTTTAATATAATATATTAAAATTGAAATTGTTAACAAAATAATAATTACACTAAACATTTAATTAATTCAAACATTAAATTGAAATTGATTAATTATTCGATAATTATAATCAAACTAATCAAAGCAACATATCTCAATATTTTCTCATTGATATATTACAATCACATCTATAATAGCTGTAATTTTATTCTTTAAATTTATTATATATTTATTAATAAAATTAATCACTAGAAATTTTTCATTTTTCTACATTCTTCTTAATATGGTTTGAAGTATAGGGCAGAGCAGAGCTTAAAGGTCAGCGAGTAAAATGGTCAACCACCAATATCTCAAAAACAAGTAAAGATAGGAATTTTGTTACAATAATATTTGAAAGTAGAAGGCTAAAGATTTGTAATAAGTTATCGCATAAATCGGCCATGTTTCAAAATTTATAACGAAAGAATTTTCTTTCGTTTTTTGGTTATGAGCACTTGTTTGTTGTTTAGTTTACGAGACCTTAATATGATTTTTAAGTATGCGTTATTTAATTGCTTTATAAAATGTATTATTGATTTTTAATTAGATTCAATAGTTTTTTATATAACCGCTATAAATGCTTACACCTTGGTGGGGTGAAGAACAAACTGAACCTTTACCCTAACAAAGGTGTAAACAACAGCAAATAGTAAATAGAAAATAAATTAAAGTTAACAAAGCCATTTTAAAATAGATAAATTAAGTAAATAGTTTTTTCAACTCAGAATCTTTCTGACAAAATACCAGATCAAGGTTATATTCAGTGTTATTTCTGTAGAAAATGCACCCATAAAATTTTGCATTGGCTAAATAATATTTCGTGAAATCCCTTTGAAATTAAAAATAAGACATTAGAGCTGTTTGTCCCCTGGTCAACCCATTTCAACCCGCTTATGGGTCATGTGACAAATTTTTGAATAACAGCAAAAAATATATCACAACAATGATGAATTAGCTGGGAGTTTTACTGAAACGTAGTTACATACTTGTTTGTTTGATATGTGTGTTTTGTTGTGTTTTGGTTTTCACAATATAATTGCTCAAAATCAAATTAGACATTTGTGCCCTGTACTACCCTATAACATTTTTCTTAATCTTATAAATAGTTATTTCATCCATTACTTTAATTAAATTCCTCTCATAGACTCACGAAGATGCTGGAAGTAATATAAAAAACTTATTTAAAACTTATGTTAGCATTTCTGTTGTTTCATTCTGGCGGTATTTGCATTTTCCGATGCACCTGGAGGATTTCTTCCCAACTAGATTTTTCTTAACTCTTAGACAATAGTAAAGTTGATCATACTATTACAGTTTGCATCACATCTCGTTGATAATTCCGTCTTAATTTCCTCGAGAATTGCATTACTTTATTTGCATATTTCCTGCGCTACGGGAAAAGTTGATTTACATGATAATTTAGTAATGTACGAAAAAGATGAAATGCTTAAAAACTTAGATTTAATTAAAACCCGGAATTATAAATATGAAACCATATTTTAGTGGTTTTCATAATAAATGGTTTCTTCGTTTTAGTTGCCAGTGAAGTTGATAAATATATATTTGTCGTGCTATTTTTATATTCCCAGCTTATATAGAGTACACCGTCTAAATAAAACTTAATCCTTGGAATCATTTTTCATGAAACTAATATTTGAAATGAGATTTTAGCGTATAAAGTATAAATTATCTAAAGTTGTATCAGAACTTGTTGAATATCATTTGAAAATATTATAATTATTGTATATAATATTGAATGATATATATTTAAATAATTAAATAATTATTCAAATATATAAAAAAAATATTTACCTGATATACCAATACATAAATCATTTCTCCAAATTTTCAAATATAAATCAAATTGCTCGTCCAAATACAATTATAAATTGATTTGAATATTCAGAACCGAACAAAATATCTTATTGATTATTAATGAAGCAAATATAAAATTGTGATGAAATATTATAATTATAATTATGAACCTATATCTTGGAAAATCGTCACGTTGATAATAATTGAAATATATCTAAAATTTTTGAAAATTTTAGAGCATCTATATCCTTCATTCCAAGTTTTTCAGTGCACTCATTCCGTCACAAGTAACATTTTCAGATTGTAGATTTTATTCACATAACTTTTATGTTGTAATAAGGGTGTACCTCAGAGCAAACATACGGATCTTTAATATTAGTATTAAGATATCCGATGATATTATTCTCTGTAGGATACTTTAAATAATCTCTATCTACATAGAGATGTATAAAGTTTGAAACGCCCTTATCAGGGAATACTTATGTATAAGCTTTACTACATAAGTTTTATACCTTGGAGTTTATTCTTTGAAACGACTATTTGTTTATGTAGTTTATTGCTATAACAGTGATCTATGGTATTTTTACAGACACATGTCATTCTAGTACAGAACTTATTTAAGAAAAAAATAAAATATAAATATTATATAAAACTGATAACATGATTATATAGTAATATGAAACTTCAGAAAAAGGATCTATTTAATTCTTATATTTTTGTTCGACATGTTTTTTACAATTGTTATAGTGTAAAATAGTTTATTACATTGCACATTAAATATGAAAATTATCTTTACACATTTAATGTGAAAGAAGCATGTATTAGATTAAATCCAACAAGTGTGCTAAATATTCGCTTTGTATATAAAAAAGTTTGTATGATCATCACATGTGATGATATCCTGTATAAAATATCCTAAAGTTTATTATAAGATTCATTTATTATTCAAATTATATTTGAGAATCTCTAGTAATGTTGCTCGGTTAACTTTTCATAACTCACGGTCATTTTTATTTAAAATTTTGGTAATAAATTCAGCTTTTCAAAAAATTGGCATTTAGAGCAGATACGCAATTGATTAAATATGAATTAAATGTTGTAATAAAATGTTACTTTTAAAAGTTTTTGTTACAGCAATGAACTTGATTATGATACTGTTAAATGTTATTAGTAATATATTACCCGTGAAATATTAACTAATCTATAATTATTCACATGTAAAAATGTATAGTCAGTTCTTTCAAACTGACTTAATTTCTTGATTAATTGAAGCATGTTATGCTACATTTTGTAAGATTGTTACTACCTTAATGTGTACAATTGTCTTTATGAAAATTGTTTTTGCTCCTTACTAATCGTCTAGTAAAATAATAAGAAATATATGAATAATGTAGAAATATTAGGAGATATAATTCGTTATAGGGTGTTTATTAAACTAGGCGCAGACTTATTAACGCTGAGCTCTTTTGATTTATTTTCTACTTGGAAGAATCTTCCAAGAGAGACTCATTTTGTATTTGCACACCTATTTATATTCTATGTATATTCCTCGATAAAATATTTATTATGCAACGTTATGTGATGAACGATGGACATCTGTTATACAATTATAGGACTATTCATCAGGATTTACGATAGTGCACGTAACAATCCAGTAGGACTAGATTATCTATTAATATTCGTATGTGGTCATGTGTATGCGCTTTGCCTTTAGAAAACGGCTTTCCAATAGAGATAGTTAAATTTGGATGGAAAATCGATGTAACATTCAAATTATATCAACGCATATTGTTTTATACATTTCATTTTTTCAATTACAAGTGAATATAAATTGCGTATGTTTTCATAATTGATAAAGTTGAAACATGAAGGCTGCTGAATTTCTTCACGATTTTACATAGATTATGTTAATCTATCTGATA